GCTGCCCATAGCACAGAAACTGCCCTGGTCAAGGTCACCAATGACATCCTGACCATCTGTGACCAGGGCTCCCTCTGCCTCCTCGTCCTCCTCGACCTATCGGCAGCATTCGATACGGTCGACCATGCTATCCTCCTCCACCGCTTGTCCTCCCACCTTAACCTTCAAGGCCCTGTCCTTGAGTGGTTTAGGTCGTACCTCTCCCACCGTCTTCACTTTGTCTCCACAAATGGTTTTTCCTCCGGCCCCCGCACTGTCTCGTGCGGTGTCCCTTAAGGCTCTGTCCTCGGTCCCCTCCTCTTCACCCTCTATATGCTCCCCCTTGGTGACATCATCCGCAGACATGGGGTTAACTTCCACATGTATGCGGATGACACCCAACTCTACCTTTCCTCCTCTACCCTCAACTCCACGACCACCGATGTCCTGACAGCTGCCTGTCTGACATCGAGTCCTGGACGAGAGACAACTTTCTTCAGCTCAACGTGCGCAAAACTGAGGCCCTCCTGATTGGCTCACGTCAGCGCCTCCGCACCTCAGGCGCTGACACATCAGCATCCAAGGCTGCACTCTCCACCTCTCAAAGCCAGTCAGGAACCTCGGGGTTCTGTTCGACCCTGAGCTGTCCTTTCTCCCTCATATCCGCACCACAACTGGCACCGCCTTCCATCACCTCCGGAATGTCGCCAGACTACGGCACTACCTCACCCCTCACGCTGCTGAAACTCTGGTCCACGCCTTTATCACCTCAAGGCTGGACTATGGGAACTCTCTCCTCGCCGGCCTTCCCGCCACCTCCCTCCACAAGCTGCAGGTCATTCAGAACTCTGCAGCTCGTGTACTGTCCCGCACCAGGCTTCGCGACCACATCACTCCCACCCTCGCTCGCCTCCACTGGCTCCCCATCCACCAGAGGATCGAATTCAAGATCCTCATCCTCACCTACAAGGCCATTCACGGCCTTGCTCCCTCCTACCTCTCCGACCTACTAACCCCCTACCTACCTGCCCGTACCCTCCGTTCCTCTGGCTCCGGTCTGCTCCACATCCCCCGCCCCAACCGCCCTACCATCGGTGGCCGGGCCTTCAGCCTCTCAGCCCCTAGGCTCTGGAACTCTATCCCCCAGTGCCTTCGCCGCCTCCTCCCTTTCCTCCTTCAAGGCCGGTCTCAAGACCTTTCTCTTTGACCGTGCCTTCAGCTCCCCTCTCGACTCTCTACCCCCTCCTCGCTCCCTCCCTTCCCTCCCCTCACCCTGACCATTTCCCCCCTGCTCGGGTCCTGACCCAACTGTACAGCGCCTTGGGACGTCCTCCCGACGTGAATAAATGGAATCTTGTTGTTGTTGTTGTTGTTGTTGTTGCCACTGTTAAGAGCTCCGAGGCCCTACCCATGTGAATCCTCCTGGGGGTGGGAGGTAAGTGGGATCTCCTTGAACCTGAACTGACTCCACGATGACATGTTTGGTAACAGAATGCTGGAATCGAACCAAATTCTTTGGGGATCTTGTTAGTCCAGTTCCTGAACCAGGTGGGTCCGCGGTATTTCAGGGCACAGTGATGACAGCACAACCAGGCAAGCTCATCAGCAGGACCTGGAAGGACAGACCAGTAACTGGGGCATGGACTCTTCCCACTCAGCTACTGTTAACGCTGCAAGCCAATGGTGGGGTAGTCCTCGCTAGACAACCAGCAGGGAAAACTTACCAGATGGTGCTCTCAATGGCAAGCTATGGGGTTTCAGCTAGTTGGACTCCAGCAGTACTCCAATGCATACTCTGGGGGCCCCAAGCCTTGGCTCTCACCAACCTGCGTCTAATACTTACCAGAATTAGCTCAGTAGGAGAGAGTGCACATTCCATTCCAATAAATATCTCTGGAATTTCCATGTGTAGGTGGGATGCATTGGGATTCTCAGTTTGGTTTGGATACTATTAAGCATGGGGATGGGTTTTTGTATATGTCAGACACCCAGCTGATCAAAATAAAAAAAACTTCATATGAAGGGTGTTATATAAATTACAAGTTGTTGTTGTGTTGTAAAGAAGCTGATCAAAAAGTGCATTTGGAAAATTGGAATTAGAAGAGAAAGATATCTGTGGTTTTTTAAAACAAGCAAATTTGAACATCAACCAGCAACTTTCACATCGCAAGCCTGCTCTAACAACACACTTAGGGGCTGGTATTCATTTATTTAGGCGCTTCTCCAGTCTGCAAGCTTATAGAGTGAAAACACATTGTTTTCCACAGTTACCATAGATTTCCATCACACATGAGGTAGGTGTTTCACATACCGCAGCAAACTGTCCTGAATTAGCAACATGCAAATATGCCACACAAATTAATGAAGAAATGTCACAATAGTGACCACAAATTAAAGTTACGAAGGGAGTCAGTACCTTTGCTAAATGGGAATGTCAACCAGAATATCAACCAGAGGAGCAGAGGGTTCTCTTCTTTGGGAGGTAGTGGAAGATGGCTCACTCAGAATAACATCAGTAATGTAGCCTATCCAACCAACTTTAACATGGGAAAGAATTCTTGAAGGAAAGTTAAACACTTAGCGGGTAGAAAATCCACCTGCGTCTGGATTAACTCTATTTTCTTAACCCTTCTGGTAAGGGAATTTAGAATAAGAAGGCATAATCTTAAAATTAGAGCTAGGCCAGTTAAGAGTGAAATTAGGAGGACTTTTTTCACCCGTAGGGTTGTGGAAATCTGAAACTCTCTCCCCCAAAAGGCTGTGGATGCTGGATCCATTCACATTTTCAAAACAGAGGTAGATAGATATTTGTTAGGTCAGGGTATTAAGGGATATGGGGCAAGGGCGAGTAACTGCATTTCATGTACAGAGCAGCTATCATCTTATAAAATGGCGGAACAGGTTTGAAGGGCTCAATAGCCTAGTCCTGTTTCTGTGTTCCTTTTAGGGTGTTCAGAATCTCTCACATTTTAAGTCAATTCACAAAAGTGTCCCGGAGGGGATCTTTTAGAGGCATGTACAATATTAAATGGAATTGAAAAAATAAACCCAGAAGAATACTTCCAGATGCAACAAAAAAGTAGAACAAGCGGACATAGGTTTAAAGTTGCAAAAAGCAAATTTGGGACAGACATCAGGAAGTATTTATTTACCTAGAGAGTAAATAACAACCAGAACACGTTGCTAGGAAAAGTGGTTGAGGCCAGGACACTGAACTCATTTCTTAAAAAAAAGCTTGATGTTGTGATGGGAGGACAGTAGGCTGGGTATTCTAGAAAGACCAGATTAAAAGGGTTTCATCCAAACCAATCTTGTGACCTTGTGTAGCAACACTCAGCTTTAAAGTAAAGAATTCAACAATGTTCCAAATTGTGAAAATGCCTAGAAAATAAAATACATCTAGACAAGGTGGAGTTTATCCCAACGGATTATTACTCTAACTGCGTAGATTATTTTACATCTGTTGCCTTCCATTTGTGTTAGGTAGATATAACCATCTCTGCAAGGTAACTTCCATGTCATAAAATTACAAGGAAGTTTCCATGTCATGTAATCAAGCAAAGAATGAGGCCATTCGGCCCAGCATTTCCAAACTGAAGCTCGTTCCCCAAATGTAGATATCTGCCCTAAACCCAGAATCTTGATATTTGTCATATCACATTTCTAAATCATCAAAAGCAGTGAAGAATAGATTATTTGGAACATTTGATATTTACAATTGTACAAATACATTACACATTTATTATTGAGAAATATCAGAAATTAGACCCCATTGAGTTTAACTAGAGTTCATGAAATTACTGCCAACGTGAGGTTGTCAGGGAAACTTTATCAATATTAAAGGTTTACTTTTGGTTAGTCCAGTGTCCGGCACATGCAGCAACCGATAATTATGCTTAAGAATATATAAAACAGTCTGAGAGTTCCAGATATGTTTTGCCCACAAATATAATGTCAATTCACTTTACAGTCTTTTCTGTGAAGCGCTTTGAGATGTCAAGAAGACGTGAAAAGCGCTATATCAAATGCAAGGATTATTATTATATTATTATTATATGCATGCCATCTATGCACAAAAATGTCCCTGTGTCTCGAATGGAGTGCACACATTCTCCTAGAGGGACACACCATGCTTACCTAATTCTGGAAATGATTAGGCACAGGTTTGCAAGAGCCAAAGCTAGTAGCCAGTATCATAATGGCACAATGTGTACATTCAACTGTTCAACGTTCAACATATACAGAAATACCTATCTTGGAGTTCTGACTGTATATATCTGCAAGCACAGTAATTTGAAGGACTTGCTTTGCATTTGGTGCTCAGAGGGTTAAGGATGAATCAATTGTGATTCTTATAACACATCTTACATTAGTTGAGGGCATGGAGGGATCAAATTAAAAACATATTATGTTTTGAGAGACACCCAGAGAGAGAGAATGAGAAAAAGACCAATTGATATTATCTATCAAGCCTTTCGGGTTTTGTTTAGTTCCTGTTCCTGTGTGCTCACTCCTCTGAGATTCCTCTGACTCAGAGAGATGTGGTCTTAAACCCTATGTTGGGATTTTGAACTCACACTGATACGCCAGTGCAGTGCTGAGGTGTGCTGCATTGTTAGAGATGCCATCCTTCAGTTGAGACATTAAACTGAGATCCCGTCTACCTGTTTGGATGGATGCTAAAAATCCTATGGCACTATTTGAAAATAGAAGGGAGTTTCTTCTAGTGTCCTGGTCAATAATCAACCAAATAGAATAGATCATTTACTTCAGTAATGTTTGTGGGAAACTGCTGTGTGCAAATTGGCTGCTGCGTTCACTTACAACATATGCTGTACAATATTCCAGTGAAGCACATTAAGATGTTCTCCCCACCCAAAAAGCGCTATATCAAATGCAAGGATTATTATGTTTTATATTCGTATAGAGAAAGAAAACCAAGTTTGGTGGTTGAGACTTTCCCCCCAATGTGAAAGATGCAATATAAATGTAAATTGTATTGTATAAATAAAGTAACTTACACTTTGATCATCGTCTTCAATTTTCATATGGTTTGCTATGAATCTGACGCCATCGACTGCCTCTTGAACCTTGGGATTACCTTTCAGTGGTCCTCTCTTTCTGAAATCTTGATTTTCAGACGTATCTGCTAACTTCCAGTTGTACTTTTTTGCCGGCTCTTCGTTCACGTAGTACGTCTCGACGTTGGCTTTATCTGCCTTAATGTCCACGTAATTTGCCGAATGTTTATTTCGGTCCTTTTCCTTTACATTTTTATTTTCCGGCCGTTTCATAAATAAAAGAGTGGGTAACTTGATTAGAAACATTTTCTTCACCCATTCAGGCATCGTGTGGGTGCTGGGTGACCGATGGTGGACGTTCAATACACAGACACTGGTGACTATTGAAAAGGTTACCAGTACCATGGCAAACATGAGATACTTGCCTATCAGTGGCACGTCCAGTGATGTTGGTGGGACAATCTTAGAGATAAGCAGTAAGAACACAGTTAATGCCAATAGGACAGAGATGCATAATGTCATCTTTTCTCCACAATCGGAGGGTAGGTAGAAAACCAAAATTGCAAGAGATGTGATTAGCACACAGGGGATTATTAGATTAATGGTGTAAAACAGCGGCTTCCTCTTGATGATAAAATCATATGTGATATCAACATATGTTGGATCTGTTGGAATTTCATTCCTTCTTCCTGGGAGAGATACAATATCCCATTCACCACTTGGCGTGAAGTCATCTCTACTTGCAAAATCACTGCTTAAAACAAGATCGATTTCAGTGTGATCGTAAGTCCACGATCGGAATTTCAGAGTACAGTTTTGCTGGTCAAAAGGGAAGTGCTTGACTTCAATTTTACAAGCACTCTTGTAGATTGCAGGGGGAAGCCAGAAGATATCTCCATTATTGTACACAATTGCGTTTGTATATAGGGACACTTCGTAGGTTCCATCCGCACTGATCCAGAAAAATAAAAGAAAACACTACGGTTAGTTAAATGTAATCTTCTTCCCTGTTTCATCTCTTTCTTCCCCATTTTGTAGCCACTTTGTTCTTGTTCTTGGATCTTGCTTTCCAAATTCCTCCATTTTCACCCTATCTTTATGCTTTAAAGATCAATCTAAAAACAATAACAATTCACATTTATATAACACCTTTAACATGGGAAGGACATCTCAAAGTGCTTCACACAGCTGCCTGGGACCCCAAGCTGGCAATGAGGAGATTTCGGAAGGGTGCCAGGTGGAGTGAGGAATGTAATTGAATGGGTGGTCAAAAAGATATGTGTTAAGGAGAGCTTTTAGACTATATCTGTCCTGAGATGTGGCTGGAATATACCCAGTATTCCATCAGTGGGATAGGGGAACAAGGTGGTATTGACCAAGCTTGTGGGATATTTGAACAGGTCTTAACTGCAGTCGAAATACACATGGCGAGAGGAACCACAATCTGGGAGGCCATTAGAGAGTTTGAAAATGCTATTTTAAGAACGTTGCAGTAAGAGAACTATAAGCCACATTGCTAGAAAGGGGCTTGAAGAGATATTGTCCATTGATAAAGGATGTATTAGCATTTTTTTCAAGAGAGTAATCATAACAGAGCAAATCACAGGAAAGTTTGGGATGAACCTATAAACCTTTAATCTTAAAAAAAACCAATAATAATTTGGTCACTTCAATCCAGATGTTTGTGGGACACTGCTGCGTGCAATTGGCTGCCGTGTTTTGCCCACAAATAAACAGTCAATTCACTTTACAGTAAATTCTGTGAAACGCTTTGAGACGTCGAGAAGATGTGAAAAGCGCTATATCAAATGCAAGGATTATTATTGTTATTAAAAGTGAAGACAGAGATCAATAATCCCTCCAAAAAAACAAAAACAATAATAAATCGGTCATTTTCAATCCACGACTGTTTGTGGGACATTGCTGTGCGCAATTGGCTGCCGCGCTCGCTCACAAATATACAGTCAATTTCACCTTACAGTGTGTTCTGTGAAGCGCTTTGGGACGTCCTCCCGACGTGAAAAGCACTATATCAAAATGCAAGGATTATTATTATTATCAAGGGACTCCAGGATGGAGTTCCAGAGATTGGGAGCAGAATGACTGAAAGCTTACCCACTGAAGGTGGGGTGTGTGGAGCAGGGGATAGGAAGTAAACAGTATTCACGGACCGAAGGGAATCAAATCAGACTCAGAGTTGGATCATGGGAGATTTGGAGCTGGGAAAAACATAATTTTTGCAATATTGCTTGCCTCAGGAGACAAATTTGTGTAAAAAAAACATTAAAGGAGACATATTAGGATTCATTAAACATCCACCAAGGAAACCAGTTCAAAGTAAAAAACAAGAATCACATGAACTTGCTTTGATACATGGCTCGTCACTTGGTGTCTGCTCTCGGTTCCTCCCCACAGTGGCTGAGGGAGGCTCGAATCATCTGTTCTGACGGTGAACCATGAAAAGCTTCCCTCACTTCTCTCTCTCTCTGCGCTCTCTCTCTCATTGTTTCCTTCTCTCCCTCATGTTCTCTCTCTCTCTTTCTCTCTCTCTCGCTCTCTCTTTCAATAATCACTCTCTCCGGGAAAGGAGGCAGCGAGTGGCCCGAAGTTGCAAATGGTCTTGGGCCGAATTAAATCATCCACCGGGCCAGATGTGGCCCTCTGGCTGCCTGTTGGACCGCACTGATCTCAACTACTACTGAATAGTAATTCGGGGGGAACAGTGCATTGTCAGAGCTGTTATCTTTCAGGTGAGATGTTAAACTGAGGTCCCATCTAACTGTTCAGTAGGAAGTTAAAGATTCCATGTCACAATTTGATACGAAAAGGAAGTTTCTCTCAGACGTGTCCAAACTAAGTACTCTGGGACACTGCCCTGTGTGAGGGGCACTATCTAAATGGAAGCTGCAGTAGTAGTTGTTGTAGACTGACAATACTCCAAAATAGAATTGGTTATTCATTTCATAACTTTTTGAGAGATATTGAGACATTTCATGGTTTAAGACCATCAAAATATCTAAATATATCAAACATCTTTGCTATATCAAAAGCAAGGTTTATATTATTTTTTATATAATAGTTACAACTTACTTGTTGTACAACACTATGTCCGGCAGCCAAATATGACGCGAGGATAATCTCAGTTGGTCAACTCCTTCGTACTGTACTGGTTCCCACCTCAGTCGATAATCGTTCCACTCCTGGTTCAACAAGAAACCCAACAATAGCAGGCACAGATTATCAGATAACCCTCATGATTTACTTGATACCATTACAGAATAGATTGATGTGATGAGAGTCACGATGAAAAGAATATAACGGTTAGTTCAGTGGAGTCCTGTGGCTCAGTGGTTAGAGCACTCGCTTTGCAAGCGAGAGACCTGAGTTCAATTCCAGGCAGAGGGCGAAACCTTGGGCAAGTTTCCTTACTCCACACGTCTAATAATAATCCCTCCAAAAAACAAAACAATAATAAATTGGTCATTTTCAATCTACGACTGTTTGTGGGACATTGCTGTGCGCAATTGGCTGCCGCGTTCGCCCACAAATATAGAGTCAATTAACTTTACAGTGTGTTCTGTGAAGCGCTTTGGGACGTCTAGAAGACGTGAAAAGCACTATATCAAATGCAAGGATTATTATTATTAAATTGTGGACTGCTGTTATTCTAATTCACCGCCAGTTATGGGTTTCCTGCCTTACTCAAAGGTAGTTGTAGAAACAGATTCATACCTTCACCAGAAGGCTTTGAGCCAAAAGCAATTTTGAGGAGATACAGGGGTGATAAGTAATCTCTGGTCTGTTACAGCACTAAGGAGCCATATGTAGTAAGGTCAAATCCTGGCTTGTGCTGATTTGGTTGATCTCAGCCAGGGCAACAATTGACAACATGTCCTTCAGTTGAGGAGAACCTGCTTCTATTCATTATCTGGTGACTACTGCTGGTAGGTGCAATCGTATAAATATTTAGAGAAGGCAGGAATGATCTTGCCTGCAATAACCCAAAACTAAAGTAGCCTTGGTATGCTCACTGTTGAGATTCATTCTTCCTCATGAGGTGGGTGAGTAAATTGTCGGGAAAAAGTATTAAGTAAGCAATTTTGGTGGCAGATTTCCCATTAAATCAAAGCATTCTGTCTCAGACAAGAACAACGACAGTATATAAGATGCGTATTTAGTTGCAGGTGGAATTTTTCCTCTAATTCTGATTAGATGGAGACAGAGAGGTAATATTTTGTCACATTCAGACATAATTATATATCTAAGCAAATATGGCAAGAATCTGGATAAAATTCCAAATTCCACACCACACTTAATCAATGACCAAACACTTATGTGAAACATACTAAGAAATTCCAGTATATAAAGGGTCTGATTATAAAGGATCTTTGCTAAATCAATTTTGTTTTCTCTCAGCATGCAATTAGCAGCAATGATCTATGGCATTAAGTTAGACAGAACCTATTACTTCTGAAATACAAAAACATACAAAATGACAATTATATAGCGCCTTTCACATCAGGAGGACATCCCAAGGCGCTGGACAATCTGTGTTTTGGACCTGAGATGGGAGTCAGGATCATGGAGGGTGAAGCAGGGGGGTAGGTGGGTGACTGGAGGTACAGTCGAAGAGGAGGGTCTTGAGACGGGTCTTGAAGGAGGCAAGGGAGGGAGCGAGGCAGAGGGACTGTGGGATGGAGTTCCAGAGGGTGGGGGCAGAGTGACTGAAGGCCTCCTCACCAATCGTTGGGCGGGCGAGGTGGTGGATGTGGAGCAGGCTGGAGCCCGCTGAGCGGACAGAGTGGGCAATTTGGTAGGGGGTTAGGTAGTTGCAGAGGTAGGGGGGAGCAAGATCATGGAGGGCTTTGAAAGTGATGACCAGGATCTTGAACTGTATCCTCTGTGTGATGGGAAGCCAGTGGAGTTGGGTGAGGATGGGAGTGATAAGGTCGCGTGCTTAGTGCAGGAGAGGACACGGGCTGCAGAGTTCTGGATGATCTACAGCCTATGGAGGGAGGAGCTGGGGAGGCCGACAAGCAGGAAGGGTCATAGGGTGGAATTCTAATATATTTGTTGGACTGAGAGTTTCCCTGGAAACTCCTTAAATAGCTCACTAATCATCAGTAATTACTAAGAGTAATTGTGTCCCAGTCAATGCAGAATGAACAACAAACAAACCTCAACCATTGAAATCACACCCTCCAATACCTTTACCAGTTAGCAATTTCTTGTAAATGTTATTCTGCATGTTTCTCCCGGCCCAATTCTAGACTTCTACAATGGGTGTGATGGTCATGTGCCTCAAGCCAAACAAAGTTATGCAACCTATAAAATATATACTGTTTCACATGAGCTCAATCTTACAGCTCCCTCTCTGGCTCAAACCTATTTTGTTATGTGTAATATGAAAGAAAATAAAGGTTTTTTTTGAAGAAGGTTTCAAAATCATGAGGTTGGACTAGATGAAGATGGCCCTTCAGCTCAACTGATCTCATAGCCTACCTAGTCTTGCATACTGTCCTCCCACCACTGCATCAAGCTGCTTTTTAAATGAGTCCAGAGTCCTGGTCTCAACCACTCAACCATAGTAACCTGTTCCAGTCGTTCATTACCTTCTGAGATAAGAAAAACTTTCTTGCATCTGTCCTGGAATTTCCCTTTGCAACTCTAAATCTATGTCCTATTATTCTTGTCCTGTTTTTGCTTTTTCAAATCCCAAGTGCAGGATCAAGCTGTGAGGTGGGTTTGTGGCAAACATGGGAAGAGGCTACAAGGAAGGAGGGCTCCTTCATTGTTAAACTTTAGCTTAGCTTAATTCAGGAAGCACCAAACTGTTCCTAGCAATTGGTTAAACTGCAGGTAAAATACTGAGTGATAAAGCCGACTCAGTGCACTGATGTGTGGCTCCTTAGTCTCAGCTGCATCTTCCCTTAACTCAGCACATTTCTCTCTGGCTGTCTGCTCTGGGGAACTCAATTTTTCTGTCAAAATGAATCCCAGAGGCCAAGAGATGAATAGAACCAGGAAGAGCTTTCACTTACTTTTGCACTCTGAGTATCTGGAGAGTTTAAAGAGCCTTAGAGAGTTCAGGCAACCAGTAACAGATTACGGACTCCATCTGCACACTTCCAGTATCTAAACCATCAGATTTAACGAGAGTGTGCAGATACAGCTGTAACAAATTTCTATGCAGGAAGGTTAGGTGAATAATTTGTGTCTGCAACAAATAGACATCAAATTAGCACTGAGAAACAATGGCACAGTGGGGGATAAACAGCAGCCTATTTAAGATAACACCAAACTCAATGCAGTTACATGTGTGTGAGAGAGTGAGATAGAGTGAGAGTGTGTTAGCGTGAGAGTGTGTTAGCGTGAATTGATGATACCACATCCAGGATACAAGAAATGTCACTCTGGGGTTCGGTGGACTGCTTTTTTTTATGCAGGTGTTAATGCTTTGTTTTTTATTCTACATGTGAATAAACCACTGTTTTAAGTTCCTAAAAGTGACTTCAACGGTTGTTTGGGGGCCACAATCACTCATACCCCTTCTTTCCATTCTGTAGTTTTAAGTTTTTTTTATATGTATATAAAATATTTAGGGCTTTAGAAGGTAGTTGAGCCATTGAATAAACTGCAGGAAAAAGTCTCAGTCACAAGTGGAACTGCAACCACTGACTGAGCAACTAGATTCAAAGTAAAAAAGACACAGTTGCTCAGTTTCAAGATCTTGACTTTGTGGAGCAAAGAAGAACAGTATAAGTTGTGTTATCTGGGAAGTGGACCTTTATCCTGCAGTGCATATCATCGATTGCCACCAGGAGGGCACTCAACCCATGTAGAAAAATAACTCTTTCCTTCTCGATACTAAAAGCGTTTTTGAACATAGTTTTGACCTTTTTACTTTCAGCATGACTGGAGTCCTTTGCTGTTGGGGCCAGAGATAAAGGCTGCAATGCCAGCTGCAGGAGGCCCGGTAGCACAATCTTTGAGCAGTAGTGAAGGCCAGCTCTTCTCCACAGCTGGCAATCCTGCTAATTGAGAATATCAAGTAGAGGATTCACAGGACTGTGTATTGATGGGCCATTTCCTGGAGCACATTTTTCCCAGTCTTACCAAGATGGGGAAAGACATTTGGAATTCTGTCAACAGCCCACTTAGTGAGTGTTAAAATCTGCTCACTGTGAAATACAAACACGATCACAAACTTTTGATGGTCGGTAGTCTTGAATAGTTTCAGCTTTTTTTTGGGTTGTTTCGTTAGGGTGAATTATTTTGTTGTACCAGGTCACACGCTGACCACAGAAAGAGTAGGTATTTATCTTGTTTCAAGGCTTGTGCCAGCGTTGCTCTGAACTGAGCCTGTGCACATCTGCTGGAGTGGGCAAGAGGAAACTATATATCATGATCTCATCATGTAAGTCTTATCATTTCATGTACTTGTGCTCTGGTCAAGCCATACCTCGAGTCCTATGTATAGTTCAGATTACCATCACATGGGGAGCTGCCCAGGTCCTAGAGGGAGTGCAGATGAGAGCAATGTCTTCTCATCTCAATCTTAAAGCTATAAGCAATGATCTGAAAGCTAGGGGTTTTCAATCTTAAAAGGAGATGTCTCAAAGGGCTAGAGGTATTTACGATTTTGAATGAGATTGACAAAGTAAATCAAAGTTGGATGCACCAAGATAGTGGAACACGATCACACAGGATTAGTGTTGCAAATCACCACTGGAATTTAATTTTATGGATAGCCATTTATTCATAAGGCATTTCCATACAGTAACTCTGACATTATTTAGCACTAACAAAAGTGAAACTTTTCTTCTCCTGTGTTGGTATTTTGTTTCAACCAACATCTTCAGAAGTAAAATGCCTGAATATATTTATTAGTTTGTGCCATCTTTTGTGCAGCATGAAATATTCATTTGAGTCGTAGATATATTTGCATCCATGGTTTTAAATAGTTGAGTGCATCTTACAAAGTAATCCAAGACAAAGTTTGACAGAGAGAGAAGGATTTACTCTGTACATAATTTATACTAACCTGAGTCAACCAGACATTTGTCGTCATTATTTGTTCTCTCTCATTCTGGAAAGGAAGCATAATCACTCAGTTATGTATTTATAAATTATTTTCAACAACAACAACTTGCATTTATATAGCACCCTCCACAACGAGCGGCAACCCAGAGCGCTTAACAACAGTGGAGCCCAATTCCGAACTGGGGGAAGGGGAAAGAGGAATATAGGTGTGGTCGAAGAGGAATATCTTCAGGCGCAACCTGAAAATGGTGAAAGAGGGGGCAATGCAAAGGGATTGAGGGAGGGAGTTCCATAGCTTCGGGGCGTAGTCGCTGAAGGCATGGCGCTAATGGTGGAGCGGAGGATTCGAAGAACAAGGAGGAGGCAAGAGCCAGTAGAGCGGAGGCAGTGGGTAGTGCTGTGAGGAGGAGGTTGAAGAGATATTTTCAAATCATGTACTTAAAGACGCAATCATGCAAATTCCTAAATTGTCTAATCAGTGCAATAAAAACAAATCTAAAGCAATTTTACATCAGAACGGAATAACCCAAAGTACTTTAAGCATGTAACAAGAAGCAAAGGTCCCTAATTAGCTTAAGTGGAAGTCTTTTCCGAATTTCTCTCTGATGCACACACACTGCAGAGTCCAGAAGAAGCAGGAGACAGGATAGGACATTGAAAGGCACTGTTTCAATATGCTGGATGTGCTTTCACTTACTGGTTTGCAAGTTAGGTTAACAACCTATATGTGAAAATTTCAGATTGTGCTAACCTTGTGCAAAAGCATGGCCACAGAGGGAATTACAGATGCTCATGATTATGCAATTAACAACCAATGGAAAGAATTTCAGAATTGTCATAAACCTTTGGTTTTATTCGCTAATGACTTATCTCACGGCATCCCTCTGTACACTTGTTTTTCCACATCAAAGAATCACAAGAGTGACACATCAGCAGGAGGCTAATTAACCCACGAGTGCATGCTAGTACATTTATAGAAACAACTAACTATTGGTCCAGAAAGGCACAATATCAAAAACTCAAAGCACTGGCATAAACTAGTTGCATCGAATTACCTCTTTCCATGCTCTAAAATTCCATATAATTGTGCATGAACTGGAAACAGCCTCCACCCCCTGACAGTTCACAATGGTTGTGCGCAGAAGTCAACTGCACATAAAACTTCTGGCTAGCGGCAGTCAAATGCTGTGTAACTTGCCAGACAGTGCTGTTAATGGCATGCTTTGCAGTTTTAGCTGGTTAGACTCCAGCAGCACTACAACACCCACTGTGTGAGCCCAAACATTGGCTCTGCATCTAATACTCTCTGGAACTGTGAAGCAGGATGCATCCCTCCAAGGAGAGTGTGAGCACTCCATTCCAATATAAGATGGGATGCATGGAACTCTCAGTCTGGTTTGGATACTCTTCTGCATGGTGATGAGTTTCCGCATGTGTCAGACACCCGCTGACCATAAAAAAATACACAAGTTGGAAGTCCAATGTGTGGGTAGATTTGCAACACTGCAAATGGCATTGAGGAAGGGTTGGGTGTCCAGCTCAAATGGACTAATTAATAGGTCACACAGCAATTAATCCACACCAACTAAATAATGGTACCAAAACAATAATGTTAAGCACATTGTGATGGCTTCCTGATGTGAAAAGCGCTCTATAAATGTTAACTTGTATTGTATTTGTAATCCTTTCTTCAATGATATGTTAATTAGCATCATCAGTGTTAATGAACACATCGCCCATTATTATTATCACCCCTCTGCGAATGTTTTCCTTTTTTTTGCATAGGAAATAGCCAGACAAACTGATTTTTTCGAGTCCTATGTGCTCCTGTTACTGTGAAAGTGAGCAGATCATAGACGCAGATTTTTTGAACTGCAGCAATGTGCACTCACCACACTTATTAACTGTGAAAGGGAGACTTTTATAGCGATTGTCACCATCTCACTGCTGTTCTTTGCCGGTCTGATAAGCTTATTGTATCGATCAGCATGTAAAAGATAGTCCGCCAACCGCTCTTCTGCATTTGGAGCCAAGGTGGCTGGAAGAAGAAAGCAAAACCACATAACCTTTCAGAACCTTTACACAAGAAGGGTTCTTTATACAATAAAACTTTCATATTTCGTTGATAAATTTTATGCTCGTCAAGGTGGAGGATTTCAGTCCCGAGAACAGTTTCCAATTGTATATATCATCTCAATTCAGGGCTGTTGCCAATTCAAGTATCTGATGAATCAAGTGTAGAATAAAGCTCCTTTTAGAACAACCTCTCCGCCCCCTCCCATATCAAAATAACTGTAACATTCACATTTACCAGCAACAACCATCTTTGCAGTCTCGCTGAGATTACCAATTTGCAAATTAAGTTCTGCCTCCAAATTCAAGGTGCATTTCAGAATTTTCTACAATTCTAGAATTTTCTGAAATGGCCTTGCAACAACTAAGACATCAGCTAAGACAAGGTGGAATTTCAGGCTTGTCTCCCCCTCCCCTCAATATTTCTTCTCTTTGAGACTGACAATTTAATGACAATTTGTATCACAAAAGTGTTCAGATTTGTACATTTGGAACATAGGAACAAGAGTAGGCGATTCAGCTCTGCAATGCTGTTCTGCCATTCTATTAGTTCATGGCTTAGGTGTATCTCAATCGACCAGTAACTGGGTTCCTACTTACTGCTAGGCAAACAAAGGCGTGTGGAGGAAGGAAACTTGCCCAACGTTTCGCCCTCCCAGGGAATAGAACCCAGGTCTCTTTCTTGCGAGGCGAGTGCTCTAATCACTGAGCTACACGACTCCACAATGTGACAGTCCCTTCTAGAGAAAGACATGGTTTCTTTCACTGCTGTTGCCTTGCCCTAAAGACATAGAAATAGAATATACTAAACCACTGAAACAATTAGAATCAAATTATTAAGCGATAAAATTCCTGAAGACCATATTTCCTTTTACCTTTAACTTATTTTGTTTTGCTTCAGGCGATACAGTAACATCTTTCTGTTATTGGGAACTGTTGTTTTGTGCTGTGGAGCCATTCAGCAAAAATACAGCACTTAAATTCACGAAATATTATGAGTTTAACTATAATAAAATACTTAAATGGCAACAACCCTTTGATAACAGAGAAGGAACTGAATCCCAACCATCTATCATATCAGGTACTGTACACCGAGATATTAATTAACAAATGTCAAACGCCACAATATACCCCAAGAAGGCAATGCACAAGAGGCCCTAGGGATTATTGAATTGTGCAATGATTCAGTGAATAATTCATTGCATCCTCATTGACTGGCTGCCTGCAGTTCTGGACAATACATACAGTATTTTACTGCAGGGAGTTATCTAACTGTTATAAATGTAACTCTTGTAACTAACACAGATAACAGAAGATTTAACATTCCCTTGTTAAATTGAATTTAATGTAACCAATGTAAAATTACTATTTGGTCAGTCATCTCTGAATTTAAATATATTTTCAGCAAATGCAATACTCCGATGAAGATTACAGAATTAGGAGTCAATCATCGTTATATCTCAGTATAATCTGTGGAATTTCTTATTAAGAAATCAAAGTCACACGAAATAACACACTTGGTAACTGGAAATATATCTCACCAAACCAACTCTGATGAAAGCTATTCCAGGGCAGAATTCAGCCGGGCCTCCAACAGGAATACCAACAGAATTCCCTATTAAGGAATCATATTAAGAAATACTGCAATATGCTACACTTTACTCCTTCTGGAAAATAAATGTAATAATAGTAATAATCTTTGCATTTGGTATATCATCTAATCATTTGATTTGTGACAATCGTTGAGACATCTCAAAGCTCTTCAAAAAATGTTGCTGTTGAGTGGAGTGACGGTGTTTGCTGGCAAATGTGGTAGACAATTGACCACAGGAATATCCCACAAACAGCCGTAACGTCAAATTTTCAGCAGGATTGCTGGTCAACTTCTCATTTTACTCAAAAAGTGAAGTGGAAAGAAAACTCCAAAAACTGGCATTTGAAGAGTTTATATACAGAAACCCAATTTTGTGAAACCATTGTACAATTTGGCTGCATGGTGCTTGCAGTGAATTACAAGGGTGTATCAGGTTTTGGCTGTGGATACAATATATTGAAAGCGATACATATTTAAAGGTTGAAGGAATTGGATAACTCTCAGTTCTATGGATTGTTTGAGCTGGTTGTATAACCTGCTTACTTTGACTAATTCTCTTACTTGTCTTACCTGGTTTCAGGCTTTTCTGTTGGTTTATTTTTGCTCCTGTGGTTGTCGGGTGACCTAGCAGCAACACATATAAAGGAAGATATTGGATTATCTTTACAATGTACTGTTATTAAGAATAGAACACATGGTTCATAACAGACAAACATTTAGTGGTCAACCTTAATTGCACAAGAAATGTTAGTTCTTTTGCAAATGTTCCCATAAGTGAGAATGAGATGCAAATAAAGAAAATGAAAATAACCATTTTAGAGGATGAATTTCACTGGCTCAAGCTTATTGTTAACCTATAGTAGAAGAGGGTCACAAGATCATGAGATTGGTCTGGACGAAGAAGGTCCTTCTATTCATCCGATTTCATCCCACCGGAACACCCTTCCTATTGTCTCCCCATCACAGCATCAAGCGGTTTTTTAGATTAGTCCAGTGTCCTGGCTTCTACCACTTTTCCTGGCAACCTGTTCCAGTCATTGATTACCCTCTGGGTTTGGAAAGAAAAAAACTCTGTCAAAAGAAAGAAGCCCAACATATGAAGATTGAATTTTCTTGGTCAATTATAAAACACGTGTCCCTTTTCTGTCCTATTGTCAAGTAAGATAGATGTAGAGCTCATACTCCAGAGTAAATCCAAAAAGAGCAGATCTTCAGGAGGAACAGAAGGAAACTGGGTAGCTTGAAGACATGGGGAGCATGGCCTGGGCAGATGGATATGCCAGTTGGGTTCCAGTCAAACTGTGGACTTGTTTAGCACACGTGACAGTTGAGGGAAGTGAGCCAAATAAAGTTTTGTTTGAGGTAGGCAAAGTCCTATAATGAAGCAAATGTTCTAGAATTCGAACAGGTATTAACAAAATCTATAAAATGGAATTGACTTGGACAATTATAAACTAAGTATTACCTTTCTGTCCCATTGTCAAGTAAATTAGCTTTACAGATTTGGATAACTGGATGAGTCACAAGGGTTGCAATAGCTCATGTTTTCAATAATAATTCTTACATTTGGATTGCGTGTTTGACACTGGGAGGTGTCCCAAAGCACGTCACAGAATAAATGGTGTGATTATCTTTTTATGGTGATTGCAGAAGTCAATTTGCACACAGTCATGACCCACAAACAGCCATGGAGTGAATGATCAATTTTATTTGGGGGATTGTTGGCTAAGACACTGGGAGAAACTTCCTCCTGTTTTAGAATAGTGCCATAGGATGTTTAACGTCCACCCAAACAGGCAGATGGGGGCACAGTTTAATATTTCCTCCAAAGGACGACATATCCAACAATGCAATGCACATCCACAACACTACTTTTAGCTTAGACTATATGAGTTCCAAGTCCTGACGTAGAGCTTGATCACAAACTTCTGACTCAGAGATGAGCGTGTCACCAACTGTCTTCTTGGTCACAGTGTTCAAGAATACATGCACATATATTGAATAGATTTAAAATTGCACAACAATATTTAAAGAACGGCAGAAAATCAATTCAACAATTTTACAATGATACTAATATAGCTTAAAGGAAATCTAAAATACCATTGATTAGAAATTGCAAAGTAATGTCATTGTACAAAAGATCCAGGATTAAGAATTTATCATTTTAAAGCACAATTTGAAGAACTAGGGGCAACACTCAGAGCTGCTCACTTATAGTCTTTAATGTGTCAACTAAAATTCTTTATAATCTCTGGATGATAACTAATGGGTTAAATGATAGAGGTAAAAACTGTTGTACAGCATTGCTAAACAACTTCCTTATTAAGAAATGTTATTGAAATGGTTTTTGAAATATTCCCCTTCCAATTTCTAAATAGTGGCAGTGCCCAAACATGGAGATGAAAAGCCCTGTGTTGGATACTTGCTTAATAGGGATTATGTTAAAGCGCTCACCCCTTAAAAAGTTCTGAAAGATACTTTTCAGTGTCCGAAAATAATCCCTGCTAAGTGGGAATCCAACATACCAGCACCAACGTTTTTCCAGCTGGGTTTGTATCATGCCATTAGTCAGAAGTAGGGATAAGAGTATTTTAAAATACATCTTAATGATATTCCTTAAATAAGGATCAGGAATATCACTCCATAGAGTTCAAATTGAAGAAACTAGTCAGTTAGCACCGATTTAATGGACTTGGTTTTTAATAATAATAATCCTGCGTTTGCATTTTCTATATATCTGGGATTGTTTGGAGTATAAATAAAATTCTTCAAGAGAGATTGCCTAGTTTCTATGAGTGATCAAGATACAAGGCGTAATGTAGAAATAATGAAGCCTTTGGGGTAAGTGATCACAATGTGATTGGATTTAAGATTATCTGACATTTAGCACTTGAGAAAAATCTGTGAGTTCAAACAAATTGCAAACTTTAGTGGAATGGAAGAGAAGCTGAAATCATTGAAAGTTGGGATGAAAAGTAACTTGAAGGGGGGAGGAATTAAACAGTTTTAAAACCCAAATTGTAAATATGCAAGACATATATGTATTGAGGAAACATAAATGTAAATTGAATAAGCAATTGAATTCAAAAAGATTGGACTTGTTGGAGCTTTTCTCTCTGGAGTTGAAGCAATTTGGATCCAATAGAGGTGTTTAAGGTTATGAAAGCATTTGACAGGCTGTTTTCACTTGTTGGTGAGTTAAAAACCTTAATATAAATTAGCCAGTGGTAGATCTAAGAGGGTGTTTAGGAGGAAATTCTTCATGTAGAATGTAGTTGAAGTAGAAAAGCATGAATATATTTAAGAGAAAATCTGATTCATTCATGAGAGAGAAGGGAATAGAGGAATATAGGTAAGGGGAATATGAGTTATATTTGCTACACACAAAAGCTAATAATAATAATAATGCTTGCATTTGATATAACTCCTTATCACGTCTTAGTGATATCTCAAAGTGCTTCACAGAATATACTGTAAAGTGAATTGACTGTATATTTTGTTGGCAAGCCGCACGAGGATAGATAAGGATAGCATAAGAAAGTGTCAAACGTACTGAGACATTCTTACGATATCACATTGATAAAAAAGTAATTACAGATGCAAAAACAGAAACAAAGTGTCACTGTAGCTCTGAAGGATAAAATAGCTATTTTCTAAAAGTATTTGCTGAATCTGATGATACCGCACTACCGGTATTTCCAGAGTATTGGCTACTCTGAAAATGGATACTTGCTGTGGAGAGGTGCTGTCATGTCTGTCAGAGAGTGAAACCTTTAGGCTGAAAAATCACTAAACGTACAATAGATTTATTATACGATAATTTTACTATATATATGGCTATTGGTGCATCAGGGACTTTTACTACTTATGCTCCTTGCAATATATGGAGTATAGTGCAATATATGGAGTATGACTAGGACAATACCTACATCACTTTAATAATTAATTTGGAAATAATTAGAGGTTACATCTTGCTCTATATTTCCCTTTTACACAGGCTGTTTAAGTGATCATTGACACTACATCAGGAACAGTACGGTTTGAACCAATTAGCACTTTGTGGACATTAAGAGGGTTCACTTCCTGGATTATGTAAAATGAAAGACTGAGCTGATCTGTGTATTCAGTGTAATGTATTAACCTCTTTCAATTTAAATAGTGCAAGAATCACACACAAAACAAAAGTAAGAAAATTGGCAAAAGTTAAGTAAACCAGACCAATATAGCTCAATGGTTAGAGCACTCGCCTCTCAAGTGAGAGACCTGGGTTCGATTCCCGGCAGGGTAAAACCTTGGATAAGTTTCCTTACTCCACACGCCTAATAATAATCCCTCAAGAAAAAAAAACAATAATAAATTGGTCACTTCAATCCACGACTGTTTGTGGGACACTGCTGTGTGCAATTGGCTGACATGTTTTGCCCACAAATATACGTCAATTCACTTTACAATATATTCTGTGAAGTGCTTTGAGACGTTTAGAAGATGTGAAAAGCGCTATATCAAATGCAAGGATTATTATCATTATTATTAGTACTGTGCCATCCAACTTTTGTATATCTTACAGTATATCCAATGAAATAGAAGATTTTTGAAGGCAGTATTGATAGATTTTTTGACAAGTTAAAGGAACTGAAGGCTAACAAATCTTCACAATCATACAATTTATATTCTGTGGCACTACTTCCCTGAAAGAGTTATTGGACTCTGTAAAGTTCTGCATGATTAGAGGCAATCTTATCTCTGTATAAAGAGGAAGACTTATCTGAACCAAACAATTATAGGTGTATCACACTCGCAAGATCACAAAATCACCAGATTACAATATTGGTCTAGCCCTTCAGCCCATTCAATTTCAGCCCTCCCACCTTACCATCTCCCCATCATGCATCAAGCTGCTTTTTGAGTTTGGTATATGAGTTTAGAATCCTGGTCTCTTCCACCTTTCAAGCAATTTCTTCCAGTCATTAATTATCAAAAAATTAATTTAAACAAAAAACTTCCGAGAGTCTGTCCTAAAATTGCTCCTTACAACTCTAAACCGATGTCCTCTTACTCCAATCGACTGTCTTGATTGTATACAATACAATACAAATTTACATTTTTATAGCGCCTTTCTTGTCGGGATGATGTCCCACGTTTGCCAGATGATCCATGGTATGCACCGGTGGGAGCCAAAGGAGGATGGTGTGCGGGTGGTGAGAGGGGAAGATGGCCATAATGCATTCAAAGAGGAACATGTTGAGGCAGACTTTAAAGGAAGCGAGGGAAGGGTGAGGCGAAGGGACTGGACGGGGGCAGATTCGTTGAAAGCCTGAAATGGTGAGGTGGGCGAGGCAGGAGACATAAAATAGGGCAGTGTCCGATGAGCAGAGGTAGTGGCCGGATCGCTAGGGTTTGAGGAGGTTGCAAAGCTGGAGCAAGACCATTGAGGTCAAGACCATTGACCACTTTACAGCAATCGTCACCTCATACACGCATTTGTCACCTCAAGGCTCAACTACGGAAACTCCCTCCTTGTTGGCCTCCTCAACTTCTCTCCACAAACAGATAAGCCAGAACTCAGCAGCTCGTGTCCTCTACCGCACCAGGCTCCATGACCCCATCCCCCCCACCCTGGTCCG